TCGAGTGCCCTAACCACCTGGTCATGCCGGGCCATATATTTAGAAATGAAATGGAGTCATACTGATACTCAGTCAACGTTCAGATCTGTACAGGGATACCACAGAAATGTAGAGATATAATGAAGTTATATTGGTACTGCTTCAATGCTCAGATCTGTAGTATGGGGATGTTATAATTATCTAGAGATAAAATAGTCATGTTAATATTGGATCAATGTTCAGGTCTACAGTATGTAGTGATCATAAATATCTAAAGATAAAGTAGAGTCATGTTAATATTGGATCAATGTTCAGGTCTACAGTATGTAGTGATCATAAATATCTAAAGATAAAGTAGAGTCATGTTAATATTGGATCAATGTTCAGGTCTACAGTATGTAGTGATCATAAATATCTAGAGATAAAGTAGAGTCATGTTAATATTGGATCAATGTTCTGATCTGTAGTACGAGTATGTCACGCATATTTAGAAATAAGATGAAGCCATACTGATATTGAATCAATGCTCATGTTTGTAGTATGAGAATGTCATACATATTTAGAGATAAAATTGAGTCGTATTGATACCGAGTGAATTTTTAGGTCTTTGGTATGGGAATATGATAAATACTTAGCGATAAAACTGAGCCATACTCATACTGAGTCAATGTTCAGATTTTTATTATGGGGATGTTATATATAGTTAGAGATAACGTTGAGTGGTATTGTAGCTTGATTATGTCATAAGACTTAGAGATAAAACTGAGTCCCATTGATATTGAGTCAATGTTCAGTTTTGTATTATGGAAAGTCATACATATTTAGAGACGAAATTGAGCCATATGGATATTGAGTCGATGTTCGGATTTGTAGTATGGGATATTATATATATTCAGAGATAAAATTAAGTCATATTTATACTGAATCAGCATTCAACATAGTATGGGGATGACATAAACATTTAGAGATAATCCTGAGCCATATTGATACTGAATCAATGTTCAGATTTGTAGTTCTGTTAATTTGAACCAATGAGATATAGCATATTTTAATTCAAATATTGTACAAGTTTAACAAGATTAAAGATAAAGAGAATCCTACGGAAAAAAATGTATATCAAATAAACTTTATATTTTGTTGTACGTAATGGCCAGCGATAATTCTACTACAACATCAAAGATGAAAACACGAATATATTTCATAACAATATTCTGGGAAAATCAGCGGTTTTTTACTTGATGAATTTACTATGTAATTAATTATGTTCACAATAATATTATTGTTTTATTTTGTTGCATAATAAAAACTGCTTTCCTTCATTTAAATTTTTTAGTAATCTTCAAGTCCAAATTTAATATAATTAAAATTTTCTTTTTTAACGGACATAAGAAGCCATATAAGATGTTAGAAAACCTTTTACTACAGCCTTGGTCCCAGCGTATTTCTGGCTTCAATATTCTCAGCCATAGGTGTTAGCGCAGTAGTATGCAGGGAGCATTTCATTTCAGTGCGGCCATAAGCACACACGACAATGACGTAATGGCTCAACAAAAAAGAATGACGAAACGTACAATTACTTACTTAAGTTTCTTTCATCTTGTCAGATATTACGAGTTTGTGCCATCTTGTGTTGATAATAACAATAAAAACATTCAGACGAAACTTTTTATTGCAGACTCATCATTGACCGTTATTGTGTAAAGCACAAGTTATACAACGGCAAATAAAAGGAACTTTTCTCTGTTTCCTCTTCCTTGTTTATAGTTTATAGTTAGTAGTTTTTCACAAAACCCTTTCTTATGAAGAAAGACTCTTTTTCGTTAAAAAAAAGAGCACATACACCTAATATTTATGAAAACTTTACTTACCATAACCAATCCGCCATTCTCCATTTCTGAAAATCCACTGAAAATGCTTATGAGTTTTTTTATTGGCCTCCACACTTCCATATCGTCGTAGTGAGCCCCGAAAAGACCCCCGAACCCTTCGGACACTCATGATGGCGATGATTCAAAGATGTAGAGCTACCGAGGACACGGCAGCGTAGACGCTGAGTGAACAGACGTCGAACAGCAAGATCACGCCGCCACGCATGTCATCACACACGCGCGCACGCGTACATTAGTGGATGCGAGCGACAAGAGATACAACCGAGAAGTTGTTCTCTAGCTCTGGATCTACAAAGCACAAGAGCCCAGAATGACCCAGCGAACGGACAATTCCTTTTGACTAGGCAACTCTTCGGAGAAGCAGTCGGCCAGGAAAAGCAATCAACGTTAGGGTTGTTGCTAAGGAGAAAAAGGGTACACTGATCGATGTTGTTTGGAATGGTAGTAGATTCGGTACTCGTGAAGCCTAATATCTTAAATGATCCACAAGAAATCCTCATCCAAAAAGCACACTGCCGCATACTTTGTAATTGAGCTGTTTTGTTTATTCATCCTTATTTACACTAACATGTCAACTGGAAGATATTATTAAACTTTATTCAATAAAACAAGAAACACCGTATTGGTCAATAACTTAACAATTATTTAATTAAATATAATTTGTGTTGTGATTTCTTAACATACAATTTTGACTGATAAATAAACTAAAATTTACATTTACAGGGTCTAATAAACAAACAGTTTCTACCTGAAGATTCATGCAGCACCACCTAGCTGATGAAGTGAATTGTTTGTTATCTGATTATACTGACTACTATGTCACACAAAATAGTTTTCAATCTGACAAGTTCATTGTTTTTATTTCTTTATTAACTATCACACACACACACACTTTCATGACAACAATGGCATTTTAAATAATTAACACCAGACACAGTTTTATGAATATCTACATATATGTATAGGATTTTCCAATATACGTACAATCAGCTTAGACCAGTTTCACCTTTAAATTTGTGTGTATATTACGTATTAGTTTGATCATTTGTACATATTTAACAAAAATATCTAAATCCAAAGACATTGCCATGCTTTTATGAAACATCTAAAGAAAGTTTTAAGAAATGTATTCAGCAAATCGCTACATGTTCATCTTTTTTGAGTTTGTAATAAACCTAAAACATCTTTCATCACTTACCTCGTTGAATAACAATACAAAATGTAAATATTTTAAAAAGAAAGAGATAGAATGCTTTATATCGCTCTTATGAATTTGCATGAATGTGTAAAAAGTTTCAATAAATACTCGTTTCTTCTATGGAAAGTTTCAAGGTGTATGTTTCTTCATTTGATTAAAAAAAGATTATTTGACATAAGTTTACGATATAAGGTACTCTATGGATGTCACAGAACACAAGCAGAAAATTTAGACGACTAATTCTGAACTAAAACTATAATAAACTTTATATTTTCACTGTATATTGTTGATGACGTGTCAGTAATAGTGTGAAAAATTTACGTATAGCAGTTCAACCGCCACTCCACATGATGGTTGAACAAAAAATACGCGTTTTGGAGTATAGATATTCATGTATATTGTTTGCCAATGTGATATAAAATTACTTTAAAAAGTGCATATTGTACGAAGTTGTCTGTCAAAGTTTGGGATCGGAACTAGTTGATCTTCAGTTGGAAAAAGGTTGGGAACCATTATTTATTTTTTACTTCAAAAGATAGTTTATTATTGTAGTATGTGTTGCTAACTATTTTCCGAACTTTTATTTCTCGTAAGCTTAAAAGTAGATTTAAGGAAAGCTATCTTGTTAATTGCTTGACACCACAAACTAAATTATCTTCGTAATTTGTTTCCTAGCAATCACCAAATATTAGACGTCAGTCAGCAGTTTGTTAACAGATCAAAGTGCTATTCTAAGAAGCCATGAGTGAAAGAAAAGAAGAATATGTTATGGTCAACTCAGCTCATATTTTAAGAAAAGCCTTGCAAAACGTACTTACTTTGTGTAATCTAATATTTAAAGATATGTTGCTTTTAAAAACCTTCGCTAATAACACACTATCTAAACCACAATAAGTGTTCTCGTTTTGTTTATTTTAAGATTTTCCACACCACATCATTATAATCAACCTTGCAACGTCCAATCATGCTTTATCTGACAAAATTCTACCTTGACAATAGCCCTGCAACATAGATTCCATTGCAAAAGGTCCCGTAGTAAAGCTGTAACGTTCAAAGCACACTCTTTCTCCCTGCAGGATTTCTATAATCCGTCTATTGTACGAATGCAAAGGTTGCCCAGCATCCGTTTCAACAGTCCAAACGAACAGATATTCATAGTTGCTGTGTTCAGCGACGTGATCTATATGTCCTTATATGAAATAGCATGAATACCCGATTTATTCTCCAGCTAGTTGAGATATGCAGTGGTTGAACTCGCATATCGTGGAAGCAGCTTGTGTACAAGTGACGAGTGGCGCGCTTCTAGCCGGAGATCCTTCCTGATTATATTGCGTATTGTTGCCTGGAGCCCGTGGGCAGCTTTTGCCACTGATTGTTCTACCTCTCACCTCTTACAATACTTGCATCAAGTCTCTTTCTGTTTAAGTTCATCCATATTGCTTTGTTTTCCAATATGTTATTTTGATACAGCCGTTCCACCACGACTTTATATCGACGTTGTTGCATATTCAAAATCGTTTTAATATAACGTCCTCAGCTCTGTACATTTAACCTGCCTGTCTTTTTTTACCCTCTAAAGATATCACCTGTGGTTTCGTTCTTCCTAGCTGTAGAGATTCGTGCAGCATGTGCTGTGAAAAGTGCTACTGAAGTGTTTAAAAAGTTATTATCCCTCATCAGAACCTACAAGTTTTCCATGGTTCTTCTACAGTTAGGAGTTTTATATTTAACAGGAAGAGAAATTAAATTACAGCACAATAGTAGTGATATCGAGACGTAATATTTTGTAAAGCACGAAATTTTGTATGTTTAAAAAATGGTCCATTTTTATAAAAACATTTTTTTTTAGTACACAGGCCTGAGATCATACGACCATTACAACTATTAGTAACAAAATATTTATTAGAAGAGTATCCCCTTTATGAATATTATGTTGGATTCTTTATATAAGAGCACAATCAGAATGTTTTTTGTTGTTATGAAGTAAATCTAACTGTTTTGATAAGTTTAAAGTCTAGGGACTATGAGAGCAAGTATGGGTGAAATATTTTTGTGTTAGGTTTAATCCAATAATAATATGAACACGTGCTACTTCTCGTGAAAATTCAAATACAGAATATAAATTGAAATTATTTTGTTTGGAGATGTTCCTTTATTGTTATCAGCTGTACTTTCAAGACAGTTAATTATTTTTCAAATTCTGTTTTTAACACACTGAATATGTTTAAATCAAGTTAAGTTTAAATCATGTGTTATTTCTAAAGATTTCACTTAAGAACCCACCTAAAGAAATGTTTCATACTGCTAAAGTTTCGGGATCTTGTATTATACACAACTTGGATTATTTTTTATTCACCATTTGTTTTGCCAGTTTATTATCTAGTCAAGAAAGTATTATGAGTTATAGATTGATTTAATCAGGCTCCTAAGTCTATTTTTAAGAAAACAAAATGGGTTGTAATATGAAAATTTAGGTTTTTATAGGCTCATTGGCTAGTTAGATAAAGGTTTCTATAGGGTTTTTGCATAATTTCTCGAGCAACAACAAATTTTCTAATCTGAACCACATTAAGTTAGTCACTGAATTATGCTTGAAATGAAATCTAGTACATGTTTCACCAACTTTCTCTGCTCCCCAGTGGCTCAGCGTTAAGTGTGAAGGCTTATAACGCTAAAAAACGGGTTTAGATACCTGTGGTAGGCACAGCACAGATAGCCCTTTGTGCTGAATAACAAACAAACAAAACTAACTTGCTGCAAAATAAAATATATATCTTGTCTTTTAATTATGCACAAAGCTACACAAGGGCTATCTGTGCTCTGCCCACCACGGGTATCGAAACCCGGTTTCTAGCGTTGTAAGTCCGCAGACATACCGCTGTGCCACTGGGGGGCTAAAATATATATAAGTATAAACTACTAATGCTGCCCACTGGCCATCGGTATGTCTGCGGACTTACAACGCTAGAAACTGGGTTTCGATACCCGTGGTGGCAGAGCACAAATAGTCCATTGTGTAGTTTTGTGCTTAATTACAACTAATTAAACTATTAATATACAAGTCCTGCAGAGTGGGAAACTTTTGCACTGGTTTTCCGAAAACATAAAAATGCCACAAGTGTTGCTCAGATTGGTTAGATAAATATAGGTTTTATAGGTCATTGTCACAGACTAAAAAATTACCACTTTCAATATACAGGATCACTGGAAGGCCTTTAAAAATACTTGGAAAACATTTGCAGATGGCCACATCGTCTGTTAATTAGCAAATTAACTAAAGTTTAGTAGTTTACTGGCGTAATATTCACTTACAAAATAGTTTTGGTTACTCCTTCTTTTGATACACCTGTCATTGGTATTATAATACTATAAAAAATCCCGCGAACGTTCCTTCTTCTATTTTTCATTCTCGGGAACGTCGAAAGATGGCGTTATAGACGTTGGGAGATAAGTTGACAACCCAGACAATATTGTTAAAACTATCAAAGATTTTTTTGTGACCTAGAAGTAGTTGTTATGAATGGGAATTTTTCAATAAGTTCAGTTATTCTGACCAGTTGCTCTATAGCTTGTCTGATGTGATAGTTTTTTGGTGTTCTTTTTTTATCGGTTTATTTAGTTCCAAATAATAAGCATTTTCTAGAATTTTACCTAGCTAAATTTAAGAAGGTTATAGGTCTATTGCTATCGGGTTTATCCAGTGACTTTTTCCCTGTTCACTATTTAGTATAGTTTTCCTTCCAAGTGTTTGATGTTCTTGTACATCATATTTTCTATTATCATCATTACTGCATGTTTGATACACCTTTCTTATTCTTATAAACCATTTATTAATATAAAGAGTAATTATTACCACCGCCACCGAAGGTGAAGGTTATGTTTTCACCTACTGTGTGTGTGTTGTCAGCAAGGTTTCTCGAAAA